TTTTTCATTGTATTACATTTTGGTCAATTAGGGGCAGCAGTAGCTCAGGTGGTAGAGCGGGTTGCCTCATGATCGGAGGGTCATGAGTTCGATTCCAGCCCCTGCCAGGGGTATCCTGCTGTTGTGTCCTTGGGCAAGACACTTCACCCAACTTGCCTGTGTTAGTGGTGGTCAGAGGGGCCGACTGCGCCAAATGGCAGCCTCGCCTCTGTCAGACCTCCCCAGGGCGGCTGTGGCTACAAGTAGAAGAAGAAGAAGAAAATATAATTTCTATAGCGCCTCTCAAGAAAAAAATCATGAGGCGCTTCACAAAAATAAAAACAAAAAATAATAAATAAATGTAAAAATACAAAAAAGCATTTAGAAAATGTTTAAAAAATATATTTAAAATGAGCAAAAATAGGCAATTGCGATTTAAAAGAAAAAATGTAAAGAAAGAGAGAGAGTGAACAGGAAAGAGGGAAACCAGTGGATCCTGAGGAAGGTGGAATAGGTGGGGAGAGCAGAATAAAGAGAGAGAGGTGAAGAAGGTCATACAAAAGCCAGCTTGAACAAGTGAGTCTTCAGCTGCTTTTTAAAGGAGACCACTGAGTCCACTGATCTCAGGCTCAGGGGGAGAGAGGTCCAGAGTCTGGGGGCCACAGCAGCAGATGATCTGTCACCTTTGACCTTTAGCCTGGTGCTGCACAACCAGTAGGCTTTGGTCACTGGACCTCAGGGACCTGCTGGGGGTGTAGGGACTAAGAAGATCACCAATGTAAGATGGTGCTTGTCCATGTAAGGCCCTATAGACCAGAACCAGGATCTTGAAATGAACCCTGAAGTTGACTAGCAGCCAGTGAAGCTGGAGGAGAAGCGGGGTGATGTGGGTGTGTTTGGAGGACTTGGTCAGAAGCCGAGCACAGGCGTTCTGAACCACCTGTAGACGGTTCAGGGAGGTTCTGCTCAGACACGTGAAAAGAGAGTTACAGTAGTCTAAGCGTGAGGAGATGAAGGTGTGGAGAACTGTCTCAAGTTCAGAGCGGGACAGAATGGGACTCAGCTTAGCAATGTTCCTGAGATGGAAGAAGGAAGAGCCAACAAGAGAACTGACATGAGAATCCAGGGTGAGAGCTGGGTCAAAGGTCACGCCAATATTCCTGACAGAGGGTTTGGTGTGAGAAGCAAGCTGACCAAGAGAGTCTCTGACTTTGGGAACCAGCTTGTCTGAGGCACAGATGAGGATCTCAGTCTTATCTTCATTCAGCTGAAGAAAGCTCCCACCATCCAGGTTTTGATAGAGTCTAAGCAGGTGTGTAACAGCTGCAGCTTAGACATCTCATGGGGCTTAAAGGAGATGTACAGGTGGATGTCATCTGCATAAAGATGGTGGGAGATTCCTTTGAAGGAGCTCAGGATGTGCTGAAGAGGAAGCAGATAGAGGAGGAAGAGCAGAGGCCCCAGCATAGAACCTTGTGGGACACCATGGGTAAGGGAGGTGGTGGAGGACCTAAACTTGGAGACGGCCACAGAAAAGGAGCGCTCAGAGAGATAAGAGGAGAACCACTCCAGAGCAGATCCTGGTAGGCCTACCCAGTCTCTCAGCCTCTCCAGTAGCAGGTGATGGTCAACAGTGTCAAAGGCTGCAGTCAGGTCCAGCAGGACCAGAACAGAACAAATAGCTTACCATCACTGGCAGTGTGTGAATGTGAGAGTGTGTGAAAGCGTCTTTGGGTGTCTTGAAAAGCGCTATATAAGTTCAATGCATTATTATTATTATTAATTCACTGTGAAGGCATTCACTTCTGTCAGATGTCTTTGCATCAACATGTACAGTGTGAGCTGCATCATCCACAATAGAGAGCAGCTCAGCTCTGACATGATACTTGATCACCAAGCAGAGCAGAAATCAATGCATGATTACCACTTCACTGCAGGGGGATCAGAGGGGAGGAGGAAAAAGAGGGAGCGAGGTAACCGGAGATGGTGAGGTGAAGGTTTAGAGGAAAAAAGATGATGCATCGATTCAGCTTCTCCATGTTTATGGTTCTCCTTCCAACCCCACCTGCAACACAAGAGGAGCTGAAAGGAGACGGAGGAGGAGAGAAGAAACAACCTGTAATGGGTTCTTTCTCCCTAGTGACAGCAAACTGATTTACAGCCTCCCTGTGATGGCCTCAAACCCACCGGGGTTCCCAGACACACATAAAGTGTCCTTTAATCAGACGTGGGTAAAAATAGCTAGGCGTCTACTCTTAATGTGTTAATCAGGTGTCCTATTTACAAAACGACCTTAAAGCACCACATCCGAGTTTTTTCAATGAGCAATTTCACATAAACATCTTCAATCCTTCGGTCATTTGTCGTTTGTTCTCACGGTTTTGGAGCGCTCCAACTGAAGTGACGTCCTTTGCTTCAGCTGTCAGAAACATCGAACGTCCGTTTGCATGAGAACTTCATATTGAAAAGAACTGAAAACACGCACTATGACAGCTTTAAAAAAAGAAACCAAACATGAGCTCTAGAGAGAAACTGTTTTCCTTTAAAGGCTGGAACAAAATGAAAAGTATCAGTCGCTTTTAAGATGCAGCTCAGACCACGAAACTTGTTCCAACCGCCTCCAGCAGCATCCTACTCTGTCCAGGGAGAGGTTGATCTGCCTGGAGACAGCGATAACCAGCCCGGACCAGGGGGATGGGGTGTTTCTGTCTCTGCTTAGGCAGTTATCCAGACACACACAGTGCGCACATGCTGGGATGCAAGAAATGAGAGCATGATTTGGCCATAAAGCCGAGAGCAAAAGAGATGGGAGTGAAGAGGAGAATCAACAATACAAAAGCACCATTTGAGCTTTCTGTTTTCAGCTGGGGCCCTGCAGGCAACAAAAAGATAAACAACATTTGCACGGACTAGGATTGAATGGTTTTGTTGGCGTGCCTCACATAACTCATAGAACCTGTTTCATAAAGCAGCTGAGTCACTCAGATGTGTCTCGGCCCCACCGTCTGGCATCTGGACAGAAACAGAACCAGTAGCACACACAGCAGCAGCATGAACGCTAAGGTAACTAGTTTACACCTGCAACTATGATGTCACACTGCGTGGTTGCTAAAAGATGAAGTCTTTTTGAAATAAAGAACAGCTCTTCTGCATTATGAGACGTGATATTCCCTCCCATCCCAAAGGTCATTCCATTTCCCATCTTCAGTTTGGATGAGGCACCTCTCCAGAGTGCAGGGAGAGCTGAAATGATGCTATTATAGTGGAAGGTTTGCTCGGGCATCTGCTCTCAAATCCATGGAAATATGTGACAGGCACTCAGACAGGCCGGCAGGCGGACACAGATCTGAGCAGAGGACAGACAAGAGGCTGAAGCTCAAGTCAGATATGAAAGGGATGAAAAGCAAAAACATGTTTTCTGTGAGTGAACGATGACTGACGGACATAAAAGTCCCTGTGTGGTGAAGACCATTGTGTCTCTTTACAGTCACCAAAGCCAGGGACTTTTTGTTGTTTTGTCTCATCTTGACAGCCTCTAACTCGAGTCTCTCTTCACTGCAAACCAAGACCAAAACTCAAAAATAAGCATGAAAACAGATCCACGTGAGAATCAGATGACGTATGAAAATAGTCATTTACTTTATGGCTATCATAGTTGCGTAGAACAGTTGAAATCATGGCCTCGTGTTGTTAGTTTTGGGGTTTTAAATACTGTTTAGGATGCAAAGTTTCCAACAACACTTTAAAAAAGGGATTGAACATAAACGTCTGGGCCACATGGACCCAGGAGGAATCCAGTTCCTTAGATGAAAGATTAGTGAACAGACTTAACGAAGATCATTATTGGACAAGTAGGTCTGCTAATATTATTCAATAAATTAGAATAAGTGCAGCACAAGCACATGTGAGTGTGATTAACACAGGCACAAACATTTTAAATTCAGCCTGAAAACAAAAACAAAACTATTGTGCAATCTTCTGTTTTAGCTCCAAATAAATATTCATTTGAGCTGCATAAAAACATATTGACTATTTTTTAAATATTGCAATGATTTTGGTTACAACACCCACAGTTTCCTCTCTGTGTCTGGACACCTCTCACAACTCTACGTGCTTTAGTCCTTTGTGCAAACTGGGTGTGGACATCAACGGCAGTAAGCATCCGTTAGATCAACAAGCAAATGCAGGAAACTTGGAATAAAACATGCATGAACCTTACAAGCTAATATGAAGACGACTAATCAGACTCTCCATGATTGCATATGTGCGTCAACAGAACAGCAGAAATATTCAGCCAAACACAAATTTCCATTTATTTGAACAACCCTTCACAGCAACACTGATGCTTGTCCGTAAACACTGACGGGTCTCAGATGGAGCCTCAATGGCCTTTTGGCTCTGCATAACCTTGAACTGTGAGGCGTTGTCAGCATCAGCATCTTGTTACTATAAACAGATCCATGTTGCCATAATGAGTGAATGTAGCAATAAGCACACCCAGCATTCATTAGTCAGGATGACTCCCGCAGCACTTTTCTCCAGTGTAAACACACCAAACGTGACCGTTTCTCGGAAATAAATAAAATAAGCGTTTTGGCCTTGCATCCTTATTTATATTTGCACAAATATGAAGATCCAAACTGTTTTATTTTCATTTTTTAATAAATAATACGTAACATTAAGGATTTCCTAAAATGTACAAGTCTTCTAAATAGAAACAGCCTCTGAAGGTGAGGAGTTGCACAGAACAGCACATAAAATGTCATTTATTTCCCAGAAAAAGTTGATATTTTTCTTTCTATAAATTATATAATTAACCCTAACCCATTATATGATATAATGCATTATTGTGGTATCAGAGCGTTACCCCCTTCCAGCTGACACCGCTTCCTGCCTGCTCCTCCCTGGATGCCGCACCGCTTCACCCGCAGCCAGCCTGCCAAGAGAGGTCGCAGCTGGCCGCACTGCGCTTCCATCCTCTCACTGTCTGAAGTCGCTGGGATAAGGAGACCAACTCCTACCTCCTGTAACTGCTCCAGCTCCTTCCGGAGAGTCTCCTGGTCCGTTTCTAGCTCTGCATACTTCTGCTTCAGCGCCTGGTTCTCCTCCAGGACTGCCAGACCGCACTCCGCAGCCCGGATCTTCTCCCGGTTGGCTTCGGCCAGCTCGTGCGTGAGCCTCTCGACGTCGGCCCGGTACTGATCCACCGATTCCCTGCGCCCCGCACCGGCAGCCATCGCCTCCCCCCCCCCTTTCTCGCAGGCTTTTGGATCTGGACCTCCTGCAGGTCTGCGGTCCTCCCCGGTCACTCGTCTCGGGCGGAGACAGAACCAGTGAGAGGAAGAGAGGGAGAGACGGGCGGAGGCTGAGAGATGCTGAGTGTCCGCCCTCCTCCTCCCCCTCCTCCTCCTCCTCCTCCTCCCCCTCCCCCTCCTCCTCCTCCTCCTCCTCCTCCTCCTCCTCCTCCTCCTCCTCCCCCTCCTCCTCCTCCTACCCCTCCTCCTCCCCCTCCTCCTCCTCCTCCTCCTCCTCCTCCCCCTCCACCTCCTCCTCCCCCTCCACCTCCTCCTCTACCTCCTCCTCCTCCCCCTCCTCCCCCTCCTCCTCCTCCTCCTCCTCCTCCTCCCCCTCCACCTCCTCCTCCCCCTCCACCTCCTCCTCCACCTCCTCCTCCTCCTCCTCCTCCCCCGGAGAGTGAAGAGAAGCAACTAAAACCAAAATTATTTGGGTTTAATCAGAAAAGAAATGACGTGAAACAGATGAAACCTTCAAAATCAAAACAAGGTCAACCTTTTTTCTGACACAGCAAATAATTTCTGCATATTCAGGGGTCAAAGGGCGCCACCCTCTGGTTACATTTGTAAAAATAAAGCTTTGTTTTTATTTGCACCAAAGACTTTATTGGCACAAATTACATTCATTTAAAGACCAAATTTTACGACCTGGCTTTTAGACAGAGACTCGTTTTATTGTTTTAATGTGTTTCTTATTGTTCTTATTGTTTTTATCTCTAATGTTCAGTATTTTTATCCTCATTGCTTTTGCCTTCATTCGGTTTTAATCGATCTGCAGCACTTTGGGCAGCTCCCAGGCTGTATTTTAAATGTGGTATAGAGATAAACTGGTATTGTATTTCTGGTGCTGAAGGCATGCTTGTAAAATAGCAAACATGCACATAAAACAAGTCAGCTGCATGGATGATGATTAGATCTTTTATTAAAAAAAGAAGCTGGTATGTCATTTCCCTGGTAACCCTCACAGCTGTCTGTAATCACTATCAGCACACCTGCCCTTCCTCTCACCTTCCTCAGTGTATTTTACCCCCTGCTGTGGTACTCAGCCTGTTTTTGTAGTTTGTGTCATTCCCTGTACTGATCTTATAGTTATTTAAAACTTAAGTTACCTGCTTGCCCACTGCTCACTTGCATCCTCATCTCCACACCTTGATAGAAACTCAGTGATAAAAATTATAGAGGTTTGTGCACTGTAAAAAAGACAGCCTCATAAAGTAGTTTCAATTTATTTTTCCTATTTCACTTAAGTCTCCCTGATAAGTTTTAGTTGTTAAACTCAGTTTTGTGTGTTTTGATATTGAAAACTTAAAAGTGCTTGTTATTTCAACAGATGATGGTATTTTCCTCATTCTTGTGCGTTGTCAACTTAAAACTGCAATTTGTAGATATGCCCCCGCCCACTGTTTCAGTGCATAAACACCATTTGAGGTGCTTATACACATTTATTGTGGGCGGTTGTGTTGTTCTTAGTTTTTGCTTTGTTTAGCGTTCCAACGGTGGAGTTATTTGTTGTTGTCATGTTGGCACTGAAAGTGAGGAGGGTGGTCGTAGGAATAAGATCGTTATGCCGTTTCACAAAACTGCACTTAAAGTTGTAGTTGTTGCTAAATGCTCAGGACTCAGCTCCTCGTGTGTGTGTGTGAGGCGTGAGTTAGCCGGCATGTTTCAGTGTTGTTAGCTTCCTGCTTCAGCGTTTGCCTGTATTAAACCCTAACCCTGGCAGCGGCCGTTTTGATAACATGAGTTCAAACAATTCATCCATTTGTTCAGTTAACACAAACTTTTAATTTGAAAGGACAACCATACATGTCTAACTCTAATTTATAAGTTAACATAATGTAGAATTGTGTGTATGTTTAACAAGACAAAATGATTTTTCCACGTTGTAACCTAACAAGATTTGTTGTTTCGACTCACAATATAATATTCAAACAAAGCATCGTTATTATTTACTTTATTATTTACAACTTGACAGAAAGAGTTGAAATAAAGTGTTTATTTAAGTTGACATGACTCAAGTTTTTAAGGCAGCTGTTGAACTTTAGTTTTTAAGTTATTCTGGCCAACAGTTTATTACAGTGTGACATAAACAGCACAGTTCATCAAAACATTCAATATTAGGCATCACATTTATTACACTATTTTACGTAATGGTTAAAAAAACTTGGAACAAAAATTCAACCACTGTTTGGCAGAAAACTCCCTTCGTCTTTATTTTCCCAGCATGACTTTAAAGCAACACTGACCAAAGTTTCTAAAGTTACATCAAGATGAATTTTTATGCTGCAATAAGAAAAAATCCTCGACCTCGGTCAGCACGTTGGGTTATAAAATAACAGATAAACATAAACCTTCACTGTTTCCAATTACAAAATCTCCTTTTACATTATAACTTAAACAACATTCATTTGAGACTATAGCATCCTTTAATCCAAATGAGCATTTGGAGCATTGTGGCCTTTTTACCCTCCCACTGTCCTAATGGGTGACCCCGCGAGGAAGGTTGACCATTGAGCAGGATTGCTGGTTTCTCCCTTGAGGTCCACGTGGCAGGGGTGAGGTGGTGCTCACTCCTCACCCCGCGGGGTCACACCCATTAGGACAGTGGGAGGGTTAAAGTGTAAATGTAAAGTTTTAAGGTTTAGAATGAAATTTTGTTCCATTAAAGGGTTAAAAGCTTGTTTCAGTAATTATGTCAGGATTTTGTTTGGTGGGTAGGCCCGCATGGTAACATGTTATCCATAAAAGGTACATGCGACTTTTTAACACAGAGAAATACCAGCAATGCCCACTTTTCCATAAAGTTGTGGTTTTTTTGGCCAAGCGTTTGTGTTGCTTCCCACCACCTACTGTATTTTTGTCTGCTCAGACACGCCCGTGCAGCTGCAGTAACACGTATCACCCGTGCAATAAAAGGTGATATGAGCGGGGTGAAAAGTTGAACTGTCCTCTCAGCTCTGTAATCAGTTATGGTCCTGTCAAATCAGTTGTTAAATTGATGTTGAAGGTGGTGTTTCACTATCTTTCTTAGAAGTGGTCATTATTTAAAAATTGGCTCATGCAAGAGTTTGTTAACAAAAGGTAGGTTTTACAGAGAAGAAGCTGAATTTAACACATCCAACTGCATTAAAATGTAAAACATAACACAATCGGATATTCTTTATTTTATGGTGAATGCTCAGGTAAACAGTTAGCATTAGCTTATATTTCCCCCTTTGAACTGATTTGTTAAGGCTCAGCTGACCTGTGAGTAACCTCGGTTTACAAATCCAAATTAGGATAAGGAGAGGTGGTCAGAAAGTCAACCAGATGAACTTTTCATGGCACGGCTCTATCTTATCTCCTACAAGGAAGTGTGGTGTCATGAAAAAAAGCCTAAATATGCTCTGCAATAACACAGTGTCTACCGGCGGGCACGGCGTGTGCCTTCAAATCCTGATATGTACAAATAAATCAAAGCAGACTTATCAAAAGGTTTTAATGGTTTAAAGAAAGCCAGAGAAAGGGTTTAAAGGTTGGTTTTAATTCCTGAATGGAAAAAAATCCCCTGCTTGCTGATGAGCAGCAATATTGGAGTTTCTCAACACACTGTGTACCGTATTTGACAATTAAAGTTTTTCACAGATTAAAGCTTGCTGCTCAACCACAGAAACTCGTTAGGATCAATTCATCACGTCTGATGAGAAAACAATCCACTAACAAAGCCAGATAGTCAGGGAGCTATCGTTTTGTCCCCAACCTGTCAAAACACTGAGTCCTGTGACCTGGGGAATGTGTGTAAGTCAGCAGAAGCGGTGTTGATGCGGGTCTGAAGAAAAGCCTCGACTGAAACGGTTCAGGTGAGACACGTGGCAGCCAGTGTAAGGCCTCCTGGAAGAGCAGGCAAAGGATAAAACAGTGACATGCTGGATTGGTAAAGTTTGAATCTGTGTGACATTACCTCCCGATAAAGCAGGTGGTGATGGTTTGAATGTAAGCGCTGTCTGCTCATCTGCTCCATTTCCTTTACAGTCTCAGTTTTTCTCCATTTAGCTCTGCGGTTCTGGAACCAAATCTGACTCACGACAAAACGTTTAGTAAAAAATCTGTTTGATCAGAATAAATCAGCTGACTGCATCATTTTTAAAAGCCCAACAATAAAAATTTAAACTCACAAAATTTCCAAAACCCTCAATTAACCCAATGTGGCAACGTAGTTTATGTTTTTAAATGATCATGCCGCAAACATTATAATAAACAGATGGTTTATTTATTCACCATCAGTGGGAAAAGCAACAAAAAGTGTTAAAATAGTTGACATAAAATAAAAATTGTCTTCATATGTGTGTAAAAATTCAAAGTTTTTATTAAGTATTTCAATTTTACTTTATTAAGAAAAAATACGTTTGAAAGCAAAACTAAAGAAATAAATTACCCTAAATAAACAAAACAAAACAAAACCACACAAAAAAGATTCATGTATCATAGAAATCTAAAAACATTAAATTTATTCTGTATTTTTGCTAACTGATTTCTTTCTTTCTTTATTTTTTCACATTTTTATCATTCAATAAACAGATCCATGAAATAAATATATTTTATTTAAATCCGAACCATCATTCGAATCATTTGTTTAATGAAAATTACAAAAATTTTGTAATTTTTACTATTTGTAATTTACTTTAAAGAGAATTTCTCCACATTCCAGGTTTACGAAAGAGGATTAGGGCCACTTAAAAGACAAAATAGAAAAGAAAGAAAAATCTGACTTTAATCTCAGAATTCTGACTTAAATAATCCTGTGAAAAAGTCAGAATTCTGAGAAAAAATAATCAGAATTCTTAGAAATAAGTCAGAATTCTGAGAAAAAACATCAAAATTCTGAGATTAAAATCAGAATTCTGAGAAAAAATAATCAGAATTCTTAGAAATATGTCAGAATTAGAGAATTTTTTCTGAATTCTGAAAAAAATGTCAACATTCTGAGAAATATGTCAGAATTAGAGAATTTTTTCTGAATTCTGAAAAAAATGTCAAAATTCTGAGAAATATGTCAGAATTAGAGAATTTTTTCTGAATTCTGAGAAAAAAAAAGTTAGAATTCTGAGATTAAAATCAGATTTCTGAAAAAAAAGTCAAAATTCTGAGTAAAATGTAAGAAGTCAGAGAAAATTTTCAGAATTCTGACATTAAAATCAGAATTCTGAGAAAACTTTCAGAATGCTGAGATTAAAGTCACAATTTTGAGAAATAAGTTAGAATTCTAGGAAAATTTTTAGAATTCTGAGTAAAAATTCAGAATTCTCTTTTCCTTTTTTTCTTTTCGGTGGCCCTAATCCACTGGTTGTTGTATGACTGCAACAGTAACAACCACAATAAAAACAAAATAAAATAAATGATCAAACTGTTTTACGTCTCAAACAAATAAAGTTTGATACGTATGTGGGAGTCATGTTTGAAAGGGTTGTGTTTTCTCGTGTGTTTTGTATTTTGGGACAGTTCTTCTGCGTGAGTGTTACCTGTATCCGGCTCTCGGTGAGCTGAAGGCGTGACGCTAACCCGTCTCTCGTGTTGACGTCTGGGTAGTGAGTCTGCAGGAAGGCGGCCTCCAGCTCCTGCACCTGAACAGGTGTGAACGTGATCCTGGTTTGCCTCTTTCTCTTCTGACCTGCACACAGATCATCTTCACTGTTGCTTGTAACCATTAAAGCATCAACCAAACGTTTTAAGGTGCTTTTCTTCAGGAAATAAGATACTCTTACACTCCGTTGGAGCCTCTAGTCGACTTTGGTGAGAATCTGTTATCAGAAAAACATTCAAACTTTAATAAAAATGTTTATTTTGATATTTGAATGTAAATATTAAAAACCCAGATGGAGAACTTACCTGCAGACTGGCGCTGCTTGGTGACTTGGTTGTTTTCTTTGATCACAGACCAGCTTCTGTAAACGCTCTCCTCTCCTCTGATGAATGCAGCAGGACTTCTGAGAATTTCTTCAATCGAATGAGATATTTTTTTCTGTGGCTGTATTACCCTATCTTCATTCATACAAGACACAATCTTAGTGTCTTCTCTTGTCCACGTGTCCAACATTCTCTCCCCCAACATCAGCACATCAATGATTTGATGTTCCTGTGAAGTAAAAAAAAAATCACGATTATTTACAGTTACGCTACTTCAAAAGCCTCTCAGGGTGAGAAAAGTCCTGTTGCAGTCCATGAGGTGGGGACAAACTGGTGTCCTCCTTCTTCTGGGAGTCTATGTTTGAACTGTATCACATGATCACCGTGGAGGCGGAGCCTAGCAGCAGCATAATTACAGGAAAACTCATTCAAATAAAAGAAAACTTGTACTGTAAAGGTTTTGTCAAATTGACTTGTTAGTAATCATCGTTAGATTTATTATTTGCTGTGAGGCTTTGTTTCCCTGCAGGAGGTCCTTTCCTTGTGGATCCAGCTGAAAACTAAATGTCCACAATTTGTGGCTTATTTGCTATTTAGATAATATGCAACTATGAAATGCAGATAAGTCATTGCTTTTCTTTTTGTCACCTGATTTATTGCTCAGCTAATTTTTATCACTCTGGCCTCTGTGCCGTCAGACACATCAGATCTCTTCTTCAGGCAGAAACACACAGAAGTGTCAACACAAGCGAGACAACCATTGGTGGATCAAGAATGTGTCTCCATCTAGTGGCGTCTGGGTCTCAGTGGATCCTTCAGCCCTGTTACATCCCTCTGTGTCATAATAAAGAGAACTGATGCCATTGATGGAGACATGAGGGACTCCAAACCTGCACAAGTATTATAAAAACTCATTTACGTTCTGTAACAATAGATTTGGTACCACAACTCTGTAGGAGGTTCATTCTTGCTCTCCGCCCCTTAATGACCATTTGTGAGTCACAGAATGGGAAACCAGTTTGTATGTTGTGTTATCCATGTTTTCCATTTTGCAACACACATTAAAATAAATTATAATAATATAAAGAAATCTTCTCGTCTTCTTTTGCCTTTCCGGGTCCGGGTCGTGGGGGCAGCTTCCCAACTCGGGAGTTCCAGACCGTCCTCTCCCCGGCCACCTCCACCAGCTCCTCCGGTAGGACCCCAAGGCGTTCCTGGGCCAGTTCAGAGATGTACTTTCTCCAACGTGTCCTGGGTCGACCAGGGGGCCTCCTGCCGGCAGGACATGCCTGAAAAACCTCCCTGGGGAGGCGTCCTGGAGGCATCCTAACAAGATGCCCAAACCACCTCAACTGACTCCTCTCGTTATGGAGGAGCAGCGGCTCTACTCCGAGTCTGTCCCGAACGTCCGAGCTCCTCACCCTATCCCTACGGCTGAGCCAAGCCACCCCACGGAGAAACTCATATAATATAAATACTACTACTACTACTACTACTACTACTTCTACTACTACTACTACTACTACTACTACTACTACTACTAATAATAATAATAATAATAATAAACTAAGCCTTTTATACAACAGGACATGTCTTCATCATTAACCTCTGACCTTTTGACACTAAAAGCTGCTTTGATACAAACATTTTGCTATTCGTTTAAATTTAGAATTTCTCATTTATTTTTCAAACATCAATAATGATCCCTCATCCTGACATGATCAGATGTTATTTAGCCAGTACAGTCCCTGAAACTCAGCCTGTATAGTTTTAGCTGGATGCTACCTGACATGTGACGGATCCTTCAACACACCGTTAAGTCACATGCTCTCACTAAACCTTATGATGTCCTAGAGTCGCTACTCTCCGAGCTTCACAAGTCGCATGTGAGCTCAATTTCCTCCAGCTTTTCTTTTTGGTGCATTTCTTTACAAGATCTCCTCCTCTAGTTTTATGTTTTTTCTAGTTTTACATTTTTTTCTAGTTTTATGTTTTTTCTAGTTTTACGTTTTTTCTAGCTGAACATTTTTTCTAGTTTTACATTTTTTCTAGTTTAACATTTTTCTAGTTTAACATTTTTTCTAGTTTTACATTTTTTCTAGTTTTACGTTTTTCCAGTTTTACGTTTTTTCTAGTTTAACATTTTTTCTAGTTTAACATTTTTTCTAGTTTTACGTTTTTCCAGTTTTACGTTTTTTCTAGTTTAACATTTTTTCTAGTTTAACATTTTTTCTAGTTTAACATTTTTTCTAGTTTTACGTTTTTCCAGTTTTACGTTTTTTCTAGTTTAACATTTTTTCTAGTTTAACATTTTTTCTAGTTTTACGTTTTTCCAGTTTTACGTTTTTTCTAGTTTAACATTTTTTCTAGTTTAACATTTTTTCTAGTTTAACATTTTTTCTAGTTTAACGTTTTTTCTAGTTTTACGTTTTTTCCAGTTTTACGCTTTTTCTAGTTTAACATTTTTTCTAGTTTTACATTTTTTCTAGTTGAACATTTTTTCTAGTTGAACGATTTTTGTAGTTTAACATTTTTTATAGTTTTACGTTTTTTCTAGTTTTACATTTTTTATAGTTTTACATTTTTTCTAGTTTTACGTTTTTCGGTGAATAAAAATGACTGTCAATTTCAAAAACATTAGCAGTTGGAGAATGTAGTTTCTTGCACCGCAGCCTCTAGCTGCTCTTGTTTGAAACACGTCTAATTTACATAATAAATATGTTGTCAACGTAAATCATCTTGTGCACGATCAGAATTCCTTTGTGCTTGAAAGCCACCAATTTATGACTCAGAACAGAAAAAGACACTTTAAAACTCAGATCCAGTGAGTTTCCTCATTAGGAATCTGCTTCCTGACCAAGTTAATGAAGTAGACGTGGGCAGCTATCAAACTCCTACTTTACAGTAGTAATGTGATTAAACTAATGCATTTTGGGGGTGGGGAGCAGAGCGGTGCAGTAAACTGGGAAACGAAGTTAACATTTACAGAACTTTTAGCAGCAACCCATCAATGACAGCTTTGTTCTGCGTGATATTTTGTCTGCACATGATAGTCACGGAGGGTTGGCCCCCAAAACAAATACAGTGTTAAAATTAGAAGAGACGGACATTTACGTTTACTAAAACTGGTCATTAACCATTTCAGGAAGATTCACTGCAAATTAATTGTAATTTTTCTGTTGTCCAGGTTGAAAGTGGATAAAAAACAATGGAAGTGAAGGCATCAGGATGCTATTTAAGTGAACACAGTCAGCCAAATTCAGCTTTCTTTCCCTTCCAGCCTGATGTTCCGAGGTTAAAACGTTACAGACGCCGCGTGTTTAGGAGAGAAAAGGATTGAGGCTGGCCTGCTGGGTCAGCTGCTGTAATTCAGTTCACATGAGCAGCTGCTTGGAACCTTTTTCAATCAACACGAGTTGCATTTTGCTTTTTCATACCACGCTGTCCTCCCCACCCACACTCCCACCTCCCGTCTTGCTTCCTTTTCTGTCAGATGCTTCCAGTTCACTCTGATTTCCCTTCTTCGTGACGGACTCTTTTTTCATCCCTGACTTTTCTGATTTCTGTTTTCGTTTGAGGATCGGTCCACCCACACCTGAGACTGAAGCAGACATGACACCTGAAAAGGAAAGCAATGGACATGACAACTATGCGTTTGCAGTGAGTTTACTTCAGATTAAGCTTTAGGACTCGTTTACGGGACACACAACTAACTACGGGTACCAGCCAGCATTTGACATCCGCTCTGAGTCTAGATCTTACATGTCGTTGTGGATGGACACTGATTAGAACAGCTGTGGAAGTAGAGTGATGACACAAAGTCACATGACATAAAATGACATGAACGGTACTCAGGTTTGATGTTTATTTGAATGAAAACAAACAGAAATTTCATTTAAACCCTTAAAATCAAACAGGTAACATTTAAATGAGTTAGCCTGCACTTTTACTTCTTTTCATCTCTTGTTTTATTTGTTGTCCATAGTTACTTTTACATTGTAGTTTTGTTTGTTAATCAATATTCGTGTAAATATTTAGTTCAGCCTGCTTCTGAGATCATAGTTTATTGTTTCATCCTCTCCAGTCTTGAGTTTTGGGTTTTACAAACCCTGAACAGTAACGAGAGCAGCAGCTGTTTTGCTGCCATGTGCGTGTCTCACTCGGACTCGTGTTTGTTTTTCTGGGTGAAAACTCAAAGCTGGAGGGACGCTTCTGTGATCTACCTGAAAAAGCAGATGACCTGGACTCCTCTATTGATGGAGACTGTAACAAGCTGGCCTACATTGTGACAGATGCTCCTCCTTGGTATCTCTGCATCCTTTTAGGCACACAGGTATGTCAGCAGGACCATACGCGGCCATTTGTGTTTCTTTATTAGGATCTTGAGACTCGGAACTCTACTTTAGATAAAAAGGGTCTAGGATTTCTGGAAATGCACAAGTAAAGATTGTTTACTCACAGAAAGTGGTAATTTTTTGTATTTTTTCTCATGCATATCAAAGATAATTATACTTTTTAACCCTTCAGCACTGTTTGACTGCATTTGGGGGCATCATTGCAATCCCCCTGATCCTGTCCCAAGGATTGTGCCTGCAGCTTGATGGACTTACACAAAGCTACCTCATCAGCACCATTTTCTTTGTTTCTGGCATCTGCACATTGCTGCAAGTTACATTTGGCATTAGGTAAGGAAGCATGCAAAATAATCTTATTAATCTACAGTGGCACAATCCTGATGAATATGTAGGTAAAAATGAAAAATTGCGGGAATTTCTACACAGATTTAAAGGAAAAGAGGAAATTTTTCTGACTTTAAAAAAAAGTTTCGAGTCCCAGAAGCATCTTAAGGAGGAAATGCCCAAGCTGCTCTTTTTTAATGAAACAATCAGAACAAAACAAGCTATAGCTTTCATGATCAGCCTTGTTTGAACCCTGTGGTCAGCCAAACGCAGTTTACAGTACAAACAGTAGAATATTTCACTGCTGTTGAAGGGATTACTGGTAAGATGATCACGTGAAACGTGTCATAAATCGAGGAATTTGTAACTTTATCCCAATGTCGACAAAATTAGTTTTCAGAATCATTTACTGAGATTTACTTAAACTATCAAAACAATTATGATTTAATTTATAGAAGTTCAGGACAAAAGACAAAAGTTAAACTCAAAAATCTTACAAAAAATCCACGTCAAGAAAATTGTGATGAGTGAAACAGCTGAGCTATAATATATATATATATATATATATATATATATATATATATATATATATATATATATATATATATATATATATATATATATATATATATATATATATATATATATATAATTTTCCCCTGGAAACTACTAACCAACTTTTGTGTTTCCCAGCTCAACTCAGTCGGCCTGAAGATTGGTGTCACAGTTGGATTAGTGAAGGAATTTCCATCTTATTATGTTTGGAATCCGGTTCCAGCTAAAGTTCACATTCTCCCGGGCATGGCACCACTGATGCTTTCTTGTCTTCTGCTAAATAAGCAGGAATCAGTTGGAAACCAAACCAAACCAAACAAAACAAATGATGTATCTTCCAGGACAAACAAACAAACAAAAACAGCAAATAAAAATCTAACAGAAATGTTCAGTAACTTACTGCACGCTGCGTTGGTTAACTTGAGCTGGGTGCAGATTGTTGATAGTGATCAACACAAAGATAAGAATTAGCAGATTATTGCTTTAACTACTTACCCTCCAGCCAGCATGTCTAATAGGAGAGTCACTCTATCTGCACATGATTTGAATGAACTGTTTCCACATATAAGTACAAGTGCATACTCAGAAACACACTGCCTTTATTGAGATGATGTCGTTATGGTTGAAACTACAAATGTTGAATAAAACTTGTTTATATCGCCACTTCTAAACATCTGACTGCTCTTCATCCCAGACTGCCCATCCTTCAAGGTGGCACTTTCACATTGTTGGCTCCCTCTATGGCCATGCTGTCCATGCCAGAGTGGACTTGTCCAGCTTGGACACAAAACGCCAGTTTGGTCAACACGTCGTCTGCAGAGTTCGTGGAAGTGTGGCAGAGTCGAATGAGAGCAGTAAGTGAACTGTAAGCTGATCCTAAGAGCAGGGTTTGTTTTTTATCTTGGGCATGTTTCATGCTTGCTTGACCACATCGTAAGTTGCTGTGGTACCAAATATTATGCAGGAGTTAAACCAGCTGGAATATTAAAATTGAGTGAAATTCCTGCTGCAAGTCTCGTGAAGTCTCATTGGCTTGTTTAGATTGTGTCAGATTCTGGCAGCAAAACTTTCATTTTTTTAACCTGATTAAACAATTGAAAGAGATTCTGGTGTTTCAGTTTTAGGTCAGTGACATAAATAGAAATCCTTCTCTTGCTCAGTCATTAAAATATGTATGAATGTTGTTCCAGGGGGTTCAAAGTGGATTTTCATAGCAGATTTATAATATTTGCCGTAAATATAAAGACTCCCCCATCAGATTCTGTTTTCAAAAAGGTTCAGTCTACTAAAGGCCAACTCCTATCTGAAGTTCACATTACTCCCTCTAGTGGTAAATCACTGTATTACAAAAACAACCTTTTAGAAATCCATAACAAGGATCTGAACCTTCCCCCCTAACCCTTTCCCACCTGCCCATGAGTCACGATTTCCTGCATAATGTAGAAAAATACAAATAACTGTAAAGTTGTTTTTTGTTCTTCAGTTGCAGGGCTCCATTCTTGTGGGCTCACTCTTCCAGGTGTTTGTAGGATTCTCTGGCCTTATCGGGCTCTTCATGCGCTTCATTGGACCTCTCACTATTGCTCCCACCATCGCTCTCATTGGACTGTCTCTGTTTGACTCAGCTGGTAGCAGCGCTGGCAGCCACTGGGGCATCTCTTCAATGTGGGCACAACTGTTTACAAATACATTTTAGGTTATTAGGAATTACCATTTATCTGAAGTAAATTCAAAGTTTTAGAAAATCAACTCACTTTTTATAAAAGCTAAAAACTGTGTTAATTCTTTTTCATTTTCCTGCAGGACCACAGCGCTGATCATCCTCTTCTCACAGTATCTCCGCCACATCGCCATGCCCTTCCCTAAATACAGCAGGGATAAAAAGCTGCACACCTCCCGAGTCTACGTATTTCAAATTCTTCCTGTATGTAGGAAGTTAGATTAGCTGCAAATAAATGCAAATAAACAATTTTATCCAAATATTAAAGAGAGAGAAAAGGCATTTTAAAAATTCCAATTCTTGGTTCAGGTTCTTCTTGGAATCACAGTTTCTTGGCTCGTCTGTTACATTTTGACCACCTACAATGTGCTTCCGGCTGATCCAGAACATTATGGCTACCTTGCACGTACAGACCTAAAGGGAGAGGTAATTGGCAGAGCTCCCTGGCTTACCTTCCCATATCCAGGTAAGAAGCTACCCTATTATCAAAGTCAAAGTCATTTATTGTCATTTCTACCACATGTGCAGGACATACAGAGAAATGAAATTCAGTTTCAGCACACACAATTCAGAGATCAGACATACGTGGGTAAGACACATGACAAGAATTGGTGACTGTGGTCATTCACAACATGAGTCGCGCTACCTTAATAGATAGATGAAAAGGGTGCTACATGAGGATAAGTGGGGGTAGATAAAAGAAAGGCACAGCAGAGTTAGACCCAGCGGGGAGTAACTCTATTATAAAAAAAAAAACTACTTTCAACATGGAAGCACAAAACAGCACAGATACAACATCAGAGTCCGATGGGGAGGCGGGGTTGGGCGGGATCCTGAAGCCTCCAATGGGAGCTGCCACTGCGGCGCATCGACCAGCTGTAGACCAACAGGTGGGAGGGAGAGATAAGGAACAGAGAGCACATTGAAGTTCCCGCAGAGGTCTCAATCTGAAGGAAGAGGGTGAAGGTCGGGACACAGCATCTGTCGGCATTCCTCCTTTCGTGGGGGTGTGTTGAAGCAGCCTTGAGAGGCTGCTATGGCGTCAGATAAGGATGAACATGACTTTGTTTAGGGCAGGCAGAGATAATTTTCCTCTCTTCCTTGGAGTCTATAAGTGGTCATTCATGTCCACCAGTGAAGCCAATTTTATGTGTTCTTAACATCTCCACATCGTCCGGTGACCCTTTCCGAGGTCCCATCCATCTTGTGTACTAACACAAGCAACGCCGCGAGGACATTATCCAGCTTACGGTTCACCTCGAGTAACGTCCCAGTCTGTGAGGTCACCGCCCGAGCGGCACATTCCATGTGCACGGGTCGCACTCCAATCGCTCCCGTCTTCCCAAATTTCCAGGAAACCAGATATCCACCCACTCCAATCAGAAGAAATCCAGTGATCATCAGGCCGAACATCCACAAATCTTCCACGTCCTCGATGGACAGCTGAGAGAGGCACACGATTCGCCAGACCTCCCAAGAATCGAGTGCATATCCCGATGCGAATGTCCCCTCGGGACAGGTGGGAGCCCCCTCCTCCGTTCTCATCGTAGAAAAAATTTTGTCAATCGCGTTGAATGACCAGTTAATTAGGTGCATATTTCCAAAAGAGTAGTGGTTTCAGGAGAAATGCAGAGAAGTGCTCTGTAGGCAGACGGGACAAGAGCCTTGGGGAAGCAGATAAGGGAGCTGAGAAAAAAGCGTCTGTGCTCTCTGGAGGCTGAGAAGAAGATCCTGTTTGATCAGATGTTTAATAAAAATAACAAAATCATAAATCACGTGTTGTGGTGATGGATTCTAGATACTTTTTTTTTGTTTCCTGATACAAAAACAAAAATTAGGACAGTGGGGAATGCCGACAGTGAGCCTGGCCGGGGTGGTCGGCATCTTGGCAGGTGTGATTTCCTCCATGATCGAGTCTGTTGGAGATTACCATGCATGTGCGAGATTATCAGGAGCTCCACCCCCACCTAAACACGCAATCAACAGAGGGATTGGAATTGAGGGACTGGGCTGCCTGCTGGCTGGTGCTTGGGGAACTGGAAATGGAACCACCTCCTACAGTGAGAATGTTGGAGCTCTTGGGATTACAAAGGTCAGACATTCTTCCGAGTTTTAGGCAAGAAAGTAAAAAAGGATAAATTAAAGAAAATGTGTTATTCTAAACATAATCAGCAGAATTTGTGTGTGTTTATATAACTGCAGGTTGGGAGTCGCATGGTGATTGTGGCCAGTGGTGTCTTGATGATTGTTATGGGAATACTTGGGAAAGTGGGCGCTGTATTCACCACCATCCCCTCACCTGTGATGGGAGGAATGTTCATGGTGATGTTTGGGGTCATCTGTGCAGCAGGAGTGTCTAATCTGCAGGTACACCCCAGTAAAGCCCATGCATACGTATCCTTGGGTGGCAACAGCAGATTTCCTCTAATGGTCTCATTTTCAGTACACAGATATGAACTCCTCACGAAACATCTTTATCTTTGGGTTCTCCATGTTTTCTGGTTTGGTCATTCCTAACTGGATCATCAAGAACCCAAAAGCTATTGCTACAGGTACAAAACGCTTCTGCTAAATCAGCTTTGGTTTTACTCTAAAGTCACTTTAAATGATGCAAAAAGCCTTGTCACAGTTTCAAGTGTAAACGTGTCTTTGGCCTTTCCAGGTGTGCTAGAACTGGACCAAATGCTGCAGGTGCTTCTGACCACCAGCATGTTTGTAGGAGGCTTCTTTGGCTTCATTCTGGACAACACTATTCCAGGTATTTTTGCACATGTCCTAACATCCACAGAGCCCCATAAATAGTCGTCTTTTACCCTGGAGCAGGACGCAGCGGCTCTTGTGCCCTATGGATGGTGGCTATTTTAAAAGCAGTGGTTATGTGTGGCTGGAACATGATGCAAGACATTCTTTTTTAGAAATCTTGCTATTTTCACACTTTGTCGTGTTGTAACACAGCGTTTCATGGTATTGTTTCAGCTTAATCAATAAAAAATTAATAATTGAATCAGAATGCTGGTATTTAAATTATGTTGCTTCATTGAAGATAAGCTGTGAGTTAAGTGATTTTGAGGACACAGCATGACAACCATAATTAATTATTTAGTTGTTTATTTATTAGTTAAAGGGTCAAACTGGGTAAAATAAAACCCAATAAACAAGGGTGACATCTTGTTGCTTTATAATAAACACAAGAAAGTGAGTTTCTCAATGGCTCCAACAGGATCCAAGCAGGAACGCGGCATCCTGGCCTGGAACAAAGCTCACGAGGATGACTCCAGTGAAACACTTGAGAGCGGGGAAGTCTACAACCTCCCGTTTGGCATCAGCTCCTCCTTGTCCTCTGTCTCCTGGATCCGGTACATTCCGTTCTGCCCTCCCGGTATGCCCCACGCCCTGGAGCCTAAGCAGCCGCTAGGAAATCCAGAATCTGGTCAGATCAGTATTGGAGTTGGTCTTTGAGTTGCGTTTTTACCCAGCGTGCCTCCTCCCATCATCAAAGGCAGCTGGGTTAGTCATGTATTGAAGAGACTGCAGGGTAACAACAGAGTGCAATCATTCAAAATTGCACTAAATCTCTTTGATGGACATTTGCAAATATTTTGCAGAAGCATGTCAACTTCCCTTTAACATCTGTCTTGTACTGAAGAGCGGCTGAGTGTGATCTAGACATGCTGACAAATGGTGAATAAATCATTTCCTGGGATTTGCTTAACCCTTGGTGTTAAAATGACACAGGGCCAGAAAAAGATGGGGGAAGATTTGAAAGGACTTTGGAAAAGACGATGAGCTTCAAACAAAGTCTAACAGCAGCCTGCAAACATACAAACAGCTGATGTTAATGTTTACTTCTATATTCTGGATGTCCAGTATCGATCCCATCACCACATCTGGTTTGGATGGGTCCTTTCATGCAGGCTACATGAACTTGAAACTGACAATAACATGAAGCTAACAGCGTTTTTGAAACTGTAAAGATGAAGAACCACTAAACTTTTTAAAATGTAAAATAAATAAAATTAGCATAAACTTCATGGCCACTTTTTTAGGTACACCTGTTTAGAGATTCTGCTTCATTCTGACATAACTGCATCACAAAGATGCTGGTTGGTTGTCATGTTTATCTCCTATCCCGTCTCATCCTTAAGGTTCTGCACTGGACTGAGATCTGGTGACTGTGGAGGTCGTTGGAGTCCAGTGAACTCATGATCATGTTCTAGAAACCAGTTAGAGAGGATGTGAGCTTTGTGACATGGTGCTTTACCCAGCCATCAGAAGATGGGTCCATGTGGTCATGAAGATGGACATGGTCAGCAACAACACTCAGGTTGGCCATGGGGCTTCAGCCAGGCTCAGGGCGCTACGGCATCCAAGATGGATGCTTTCATATTTCCTCTAAATTCTGACCAACCAGCTGAAATGAAGACTTAGCAGACCTCAGATAGAACCAGTGGTTATTTGAGCTACTTGGTACCTTCTGATCTTTTGCACCATGCTCTGTAAACCTCCGTAGATCAGCACTTTCTGAAATACTGAGGACCAACAAATCAGGCACCAGCAACCACGTCTAATACAGAGTTACTGCTATTTTATTGGCTGATGTTTCACACATGCTGAAATCACCAAGAAAGTCTCAGTTGTTTTTGCACAAAAGGAAGCATCTAAGTCCCTCCTACTATTATTACTGGTTTAGATCTGCTTTCTAAAGGGATCCCAGGCTGCAGGAGACAAAAACCCACAGCAACAGCCTTTTACTGTCATCTTCACATTGGGATTTTAACTCTGCAGTAAACATTTACTGAAAAGCTCATTTTCATCAGCAATTCATGTTTTCTCCCATGTAAAGTTTTTGTTTTTGTTGTCATCAGAATTCAGTCAAAGCCAGGAGCTAGAGGACAAACGAGTAAAGAGACAAAAACATGAATGTTACTGAACAGAAAATATGTGTTTATCTGAAACAATTCTTTATTCATTTCTGTGCACTTTGATGATTTGTTTTTAGTTTTCTCAAGAAGATTTTTTAAAGGTGCAACTTTTCTTCTTTGTGCAAACTCGTGTCTCATTGCACTGACTGATTTTTGTTTATTAAACTTAAACACGCCCCTTAAAATTCATTTGTGATGTCTGATCCTTCTTTCTGGCCTCGTACAAACCAACAAAAGACTCCCCCCACATCTCTTTTGGTGTCAGTAGAAGACGTTAGCACCTTTTGGGCTGTAACCACCAGAGTCAACAGTGTACGCTCAAAATCCTCCTGATGCAGGGCATCCGCCTGACCACACAGGTTAAATATGTGTCTAGAAACATCTGCTAGTGTTTTGGGAATGATTTCCCTGCAGATAAAATCCAAACTTGTCTTTTGGAGTGAAGATGGTTGATCATCTGCAATTAAAAATGATCCATCAGACTCAAAGATGATCCCAGCCACCAGAATCTGATGGGTGTAAAAAGAGAACGGAGATGTTACAGCTATGCAATGCTAATGATAATTGTTAACATCTCTTTGTTTTACCTCAGATAATAGATGATAATAGATTCTGTCGACAATCCTCGTTTTGCTCTGGTTGCAGCTGGAAACAGAGCTTTGGGTGAACACAATAAACTAAAGTTGATATTGAGCTTGAAAGTCTCTAAACTGGTTAAAGAAGGAACGGTTAGCGACGTGTTATTCAGGCAGCTCCAACCAGAATGTTCTGCATTAATTCAGGGAAATGGAAACCATGCATTTCAAACTCTGTGAACTTTGACCTTGCAGACAATAAAACCTCAAAGGCAGCAGTAGAATCAAGCACATGGAACATCTAACAGGGTCTAAATGATTTCAGCATGGTCTTTAGATTTCATCCTCAGCTTTCCCCCACCACCCTGTAAACTCAAAATTCAATTCAATTCAATTCAAGTTTATTTATAAAGCGCCAAATCACGACAAGAGTCGTCTCAAGGCACTTCACATAATAAACATTCCAATTCACAGTTCATTAAGCCAATCAGAAATAATGTTTCCTATATAAGGAACCCAGCAGGTTGCATCGGGTCACTGACTAGTGTCAGTGACTATACAGCAATCCTCATACTAAGGAAGCATGCAGCGACAGTGGAGAGGAAAACTCCCTTTTAACAGGAAGAAACCTCCAGAGAATCCCGGCTCAGTATAAGCAGCCATCCTCCACGACTCACTGGGGATGGAGAAGACAGAGCGCGCACACACACACACACACACACACACACACACACACACACACACACACACACACACACACACACACACACACACACACACACACACACACACACACACACACACACACACACACACACACACACACACACACACACACACACACACAAGTCACGTGTCTATAGTTCTATTGTGATGTCTTAGTAAATATTCTATTTGGCGAGAGATAAACTTTATTGTATTTATCCTAGTGGATCTATAATTAAACGGATAAACTAGTAGTAGCACATCCAACGTCAAGGAAAGCAAAAAGTTATTATCAGGAGAGGGAGAATGTTTAAGTGGTTAGCAGCAGTGTGCTAGACGATGGCCCCCTCCATGAGGCCACCACAGCTCAGCAGAACATCGTTGTAGCTTCTTCTGGGGAGAAAAACACTTAGAGAGAAAATAAAGTTAACAGCTGAAATAGCAGAAAATAATACAGTTAAAGAGCAGATAGTAGAAGAAAGTAGTAGAGTGTGAAAAGTGGTCAGTGTATCCTCCAGCAGTCTAAGCCTATAGCAGCATAACTACAGAGATAACTCTGGATAATCTATCCTATTTAGATGTAGGCATGTTGGAGGCAGGGCAAGGGAGAGCCGTCTTTACCGACTGTACACTCCACCTCCCTCTACTCCCCCACTTGTCCAGATTTAGGCTAACATCAGATTTTAACCTTAGACCCTATCAAATAAAAATGTTTTAAGCCTAGTCTTAAAAGTAGACAAAGTGTCTGCCTCACGGACTAAAGCTGGGAGCTGGTTCCACAGGAGAGGAGCCTGATAACTAAAAGATCTGCCTCCCATCCTAATTTTAGATATTCTGGGAACCACCAGTAGACCTGCAGTCTGAGAGCGAAGTGCTCGGTTAGGAACATATGGAACAATCAGATCACTGATGTATGATGGAGCTTGATTATTAAGAGCTTTATATGTGAGAAGAAGGATCTTAAAATCTATTCTGAATTTAACAGGTAGCCAATGTAGGGAAGCTAAGACAGGAGAGATATGATCTCTCTTTTTAATTCTCATCAGAACTCTAGCTGCAGCATTTTGGACAAGCTGAAGACTTTTAACTACATTCTGTGGACTTCCTGAGAGTAATGAATTACAGTAATCCAGTCTTGATGTAATAAATGCATGAACTAGTTTTTCAGCATCACTCCTGGAAAGGATGCTTCTAATCTTAGCAATATTCCGAAGGTGGAAAAAGGAAATCCTACAAACTTGTGAAACCTGGGATTTGAATGCCATGTCCTGCTCAAAGATAACACCAAGGTTCCTTACTTTGTTCTCGGAGATTAATGTAATGCCATTCAGGTCAGGTGATTGACTAAGCAATTTCCTTTTCTGGATTTCTGGTCCAAAGATGAGAACTTCCGTCTTGTCTTGATTTAAAAGCAAGAAGTTTAGCGTCATCCAATTTTTTACGTCCTCAAGACAAGCCTGTAATCTACCCAACCGATTAGGCTCATCAGGGTTAATGGATAAATATAACTGAGTATTGTCAGCATAACAGTGGAAGTTTATCCCATGCTGTCTAATGATTTTACCAATTGGGAGCATATATATAGTAAAGGAATTGGTCCAAGCACTGAACCCTGTGGTACTCCGCAAGTAACCCTGGAGTATGAAGAAGATTTGTCATGTACATTTACAAAATGAAATCTGTCAGACAGGTAGGATTTAAACCAGCCTAGCGCTGTTCCTTTGATCCCTACAACATGTTCAAGTGTTTCTAAAAGAACATTGTGATCAACTGTGTCAAAGGCAGCACTGAGATCTAACAAGACTAGAACAGACACAAGATTCTTATCTGAGGCCATGAGAATATCATTTGTAACTCTCACTAATGCAGTTTCAGTGCTGTGATACTCTCTAAAATCAGACTGAAATTCCTCAAACAGAGCATTAGTGTTTAAATGCTGATATACTTGGGTGGCCACTATTTTCTCCAGGACTTTGGATAAAAATGGAAGGTTAGATATTGGTCTATTATTCATTGGGTCATCTGGATCCAGAGAAGGCTTCTTAAGTGAAGGTTTGATTACAGCAACCTTGAAATCTTGTGGTACATACCCATTTACTAAGGATAGATTGATTATATTTAGAATGGGGGCAGTAACCAAAGGAAATGCTTCTTTAAATAATTTTGTTGGGATTGGATCCAAAATGCAAGTTGAAGGTTTAGATGAAGCTAATATTTTTGATAACTCTGAAAGCTCAACTGGATCAAAACGGTTCAAGCACAGATGAGGTTCTACAGTCACCTCTGATGCTGCCTCACTTACTGAGGAAGAAGAAATCGCATTAGGGAGGATGCTAAAGATTTTGTTTCTAATAGAATTAATTTTACTTGTAAAAAATCCCATGAAGTCATTGCTGCTGAAGGCTAAGGGAATAGATGGCTCAGAGCTATGATTCTGTGTAAGTTTAGCAACTGTACTGAAAAGAAATTTAAGATTATGCTTATTCTCCTCAATTAATGCTGAAAAATAAGCAGTTCTAGTTTGTCGAAGCTTATTTTTATAAAGCACAAGACTATTTTTCCAGGATAGGTAGGCCTCCTCATGGTACGTAGAGCACCATGTTCTCTCCAATTTCCTAGAGTTTTGTTTTAAGGCTCGTAAATGAGAATTAAACCAGAGAGCTGACTTCCTGTCCCTAATTACCTTCTTTTTTAAAGGGGCAACATCATCTAATGCCACACGTAAAGAGGAATTAACATGATGAACTAAGGCACCAATTTGTGAGGGGCTAGAACTGAAAATATTGCCCTCTGCTACATGCCTCTGAGATGCTGAGGACAGTAAAGATGGAACAGTTGATTTAAAAGTCGCAACTGCGTTGTCAGATAGAGACCGACTATAGTGAAATTTACTTTCATGTCTCGAGAACTCAGTTATAAAAAACTCAAAGGTTATCAGAAAGTGGTCCGAGAGGACTGGATTATGTGGAAAGATTGTTATTTCCTCACACTCTATGCCATAAGTCAGAACAAGGTCCAATGTATGATGGCAGGAGTGGGTGGAGCTATGTATTCTTTGAGTAAAACCAATTGAGTCTAAGATATTACTAAAGGCTACATTGAGGCTATCATTTTCAATGTCCACATGAATATTGAAATCCCCCACTACAATGACCTTATCAGTATTTAGCACCAAATCAGATAAAAAATCAGAGATCTGATCCAAAAACTCAGAGTAAGGGCCTGGTGGACGATATAAAACTACAAACAAGAGTGGTTTTACAGTTTTGCTATCTGGATTAGGAAAACTAAGAATAAGATGTTCAAACGAACTGTAACTATTAATCTGTAAGGGACTGATTAATAAGTTCGAATGAAAAATGGTTGCTACTCCTCCTCCTCGCCCTGTACTTCGAGCAATATGATGATTTAAATAATTTGAAGGAGTCGACTCATTTAAGCTAACATAGTCCTCTTGCTGCAGCCAGGATTCTGTGAGAGAGAGCAAAGAGATCTGATTATCACAAATCAAGTCATTAACTAACAAAGTCTTAGAAAAAATGGATCTAATGTTCAACAACCCACATTTAATTTTTCTAGTTTCCTGCTCAGTTGAATTTGTTCTAATATTTATGAGATTTCCATGATTTGCTTTATTAAGCCTGATATTTAATCTGTGTGGTTTTGGCCGTGGGCAGGACACTGTCTCTATGGGGTAGTGGGTGGGTAACAGTACAGAAGCTGCAGAGGGGTGGGTTAAACTACGACTCTGCTTCCTGGTCTGGACCCTGGGTTGTCATGGAGGACTAATAAAACTGGCCATATTCCTAGAAAGAAGAGCTGCCCCATCCAAAGAGGGATGGATGCCGTCTCTCCGCATCAGACCAGGTTTTCCCCCAAAAGGTTTTCCAATTATCAATGTAGCCCACG